TCTAATTTCTTTGGACATCCTCTGGTGCAGAGGCTCGGTGTATTTGGTACCATCGTGTCGCTAATATAATCCTTTTATCAAAAAAAATGTTTTTCTACCAGAATAACAACTCGGCAGTGCAATCTTATCTCTTTGGGGATGGCGTGGCACACAGTATCCGTCAGATGGGGTAGGCTGAAACGTTCAACCCGTTGACACTTGACACTGACAGACTAACAGCACACGCATGCATGCATGCATAAAAGCAGCCAAGCCGCGCCCTCGCTCCCACCGTTTTGGTCCTTAGCTATGCTCGCGACTATTCTAATGGAACAGACAGTAAAATTACGGGAGGAATCATCGGCACGCATCTGACCTCCGGGAAACGAACAAGCACGTCCAGCTACTACCAACAGATTCCTGACGTGCACACACACGCTGGCCCCTCCACGAGGTACGACAACCAGCCCCAGGGCCAAAGTCAAACCCATGGCAATATACTCTCACAAATACCCCGTAGTATTGTACTGCACTCACCATGATGCACTCACCTGCTTTGCCCTGTCGCTTGCATAGTTTATGGTGGCCAAAGGAAGAAAATAATTTACTCGCAGTGCCTTTGCATCACAGTTTGAAATTTGAACACTAGTTCAGACAGAAGGAATATAGACAGGAGGGGGTTTGAAATTTGAACACTGAATATTGACGGTGGCATCCATGAAAACTTGAGCTCTAGCGAGCGAGCATTGACCTGGCTAGCTAGCTAGCTAGGGGCAGGGATCGATGGGGATGTTGTTCCCCGTGATGTCAAAGGGAATTACTGTAAGCGACAAGGAGATGGTCCAAGCCGATCACCATGGTGCACTGCATGCAGCTCATTAATCTATTCCATGAGCGCATAAACAATCCCCACTTGATTTACACCCGCTTATAGCTAATCTCAAACCAACTGTGTCGTTGTCGTTGGACCTTAGCCAGGCCTGTTCGTAGTATATCTATTCCGGGGTCGTGGTGTACGACCGATGCTATGCTAGTGGATGAGAGGAGCAGGTGGCATAAGTCAAACGGTGTAGTATCACATGAAGAGTTGTATTATTGTATAATTATAATGGAATCGATCTGGTGTTTCGTGAGTCTGGAAGTGTTAAACAATGTAGGGTGGGTGCTTACGGCGAGGTGAGATCACCATGCCGTCATAAATAGGTCAGCATGCCAAACAAATTGCCACCTACTAGCTAGGCTTGTGTATATACGTATATTTCTTGCGGCTGCGTGGTCAGCAGGACTGACCTGAAGACGTACGTACATTTTCAGCTAGAGTACGTGGATGCTGCCAAAACGGGTTGAAACGTCAGAAACAAAATTGTTATTGTGTCATTGTGTGCATTAGCATAATTGAATCCACTACTTTTTCCTCTACGTGAAAAGTGCTGCTGACTGCCGACGTGATCGGCTACACGATCCAACTGCTTTATTATGCAGACTGCGTCCTAGGTGCATGACTGGGTTTTAGAAAGATCACTTCCCCTAAAAGAAGATCATTTGAACAGGCGGCATGAGCTTTCAACCGCTTTTCAAATTTTCAGTGGACCCTTTCCTAGCCAGGCAAGAACAGTTCAAGATCTACCTATCCATCCAATCCATGATCCAGCCATAGATTATTACTGCCCGTAGATAGAGATAGAGTAAGCAAAAGTACGAGTGTTAGTGGAGGCAATCGAGTGCCGGCTGGACCCCATGGGCGTCACGGGAAGTCGTCGCTCGCGGGCACTCGATTACGAGGGAATGCCTCATGGGATGTCGTCTCGTCCTGATTAAACTAAACCCCATGCCGAACTGCCGATCGTATACTGTGTCATACCAGTATCATATGTGCATGTCGTCGTCTCCGCTGCGACTGCACGTAGTTTAATCAATCGGTACAGTCAGTCAGTCAGCTAGCGCTCGATTTGCATAACCCTGCTGTGCTGTGCTGTGCTGAGTAGTGTGTAGCGAATAGCGATGCGGTTGGAGTTTTAATTGGGGTAGTTGGGTTGGCCCGGGTGTGGCAGCTGCTTGCTCCTGTATTTTTCAGCGCTGACAAACCGGCCGAATCTGTCAACCTTGCTCAGCTTTCGTGGCGATCGATCTGGTGGCACGAGTATAATATGATCGGGTCGCCGGATCGCTGCGTGCTCTCTGTCTCTGTGCGCTTCCCCGTGTGCAGTGCTGCTGCAAGTGTGGACGTGTGGTGTACTCAGAAACCGCCGGTGCGTCCAACCCCTGGTTTACACTACAGAGAGCTCACCAGACCACTGGGAAATTTTACAGTGAGCTCAGAGCACTGGAAAATCTGCACGACGACTCGCAGGGGAAACGATGGGCTTGTCCGTCGGAGGGAAAATGCGCTTTTGACTTGACGCCGTGCCGCCGGAGCGATGGATCGCAGCGGTGGCCACCGGAGCCGGCGGCGTGCAAGATCAGCATGCCGTGCGGTTGGTCGTGTTTGGAATACGCATTTGGACGGACCCGTGCGCGGGGTCAGCGGGCGGTACGTCCGTCGTCGTCGTCGTCGAGGAGGGATCACGACATCACCTGATTGTCGCCTACGATCCGCGCATATGCCTCCGTGACGGCCACAACATATAATACTACGACGATCATGTACAGATCAGTACTACAACTAAAAGAATATGTTCTTACCTCGTCGGTGAAAGGAGCCCGCGGGGAAGGCGACGGTAAGAAAGTGTGTCGTCCGTTGTCTGAACAAAAACAGAGAACAAATCTCGAGGAGATCCACGGATCGATATCGCGAGCACTAATTTAGGAATCGTTCGCCGGTCCGTCATTTTCGGTCCATCATCAGTGGTAACAAAAAGAGATATTCGTAATTCCATTCCCTCGCGGTGAAGAAAGGATCACTTGCGATCGAAGCAGAATCTCCACAGGAGCAGAGGAAAAAACAGAGGAGATAAATCACATTTCCGGGCCTGAAAGGCACCCGGCGACGAGCCGACGGCGATCTCTTCTAGATCTTCCGCGGAGTAAACTAAACCACAAATCAGACGGCACCGGTGACGGCAGCCACCGCTAAAACTACGAATTGAAGAGCAGTGCTAGTTAATTAGTCAGTTGATGTTGCCTTGAGTGCTTGGCGTGTGCTGCTGAGAGCATCAGAGCGAGCGGGCAAGCAGCGTAGGCATAGATTAGATGGGTGGACAGGACAGGTCGATGGGATCCTGCGCTCTGTTCCCCGTCCATTTCAGGCCCGGTGCCTCAGCTAACTCTGGCGGTGAGATCTTCGGCGAGAGCGACGGCGAGCCCACCCGCACCGCCCCGAGCGCGCCATTCCCGCGAGCTGCTCGACTGCTTGACCGCACAGCACACGGATGAAATGGATGGAAGGATATCCGGGCCGGGAGTAACTTTGGTTGCCTGTTCACTTTTGTTGGTGCCGGTCTGATTGGGAGGGCAGGGCAGACCCCCGCTAATCACGCTAGCTTGTTCGTGCGTGCATTACTTTATCGCTCTCGCATTACACACAGTAGTACTGTACTGTTTGATTTTTTTACTTTTGTTGAGAAGTTCGTGATAATGTTAAGCAAAGCAGTGGGCGGCATAGTGTGTATGTGCGCATCAGTCTGACCGACAGCCCGTCGGAATCTCAGGAGCGGCTGCCCGTGCCGTACACGAGGGGGACGTACATACGTCCGTACGGGGTTAGCGAAAAGCGCGGCATGGGCAGTCAGCCGCATGCTTTGCGGCCGTTGGGCTTGCTCCGCGCCGAACGTGCGCGCCACTCGCCGGCGCCGATCGGTCGAGCCCCGTCTGTACGCCGCGCGCTTGAGATGTTGTGCCCTGCGCTGCGCTGCGCAGCGAACGTGCGTGCGTGCGTGCCACCGCCGGGCGCCCGTCCGGGCTCGCACGCATGGCGCGTGCCGGCTCGCGGCGCAGGCCACATGGTTCCGCCCTGTGTGCGTAGACGGGGGTTGGGTTGGGTTGGGTTGACTCCAGCTCGATGTGGCACAGAGACGGAGGGCCCCGCGGGTGGCGGTGGAGTCCGACACCGGGACATGCCGAGGCCGAGCGCGCGGCCCCGCCACCCCCCGCGCACGCCGACACCGCCGATGCCGATGCCGATGCGCCCACGCGTTTTCCCGCGGGACCCCCTCGTCTCCCCCCACCCGTCTCCGCCTATATACACCTACCTCGCTCCCCCATTCCCACTCCCCCAACACCCCACCTTCCCAGCTTCCCTTCCCAGACCGCAGAGCCTCTTCCTCCTCCTGTACTGCACCCACACTAGCTGCACCACGACCACGCACGCCGGCCTTCAAACTTTGAACGTGCTTCAGTCCTTGCTGATCATCATCATCATGGACGCCATGTCGTGCCTGGCGCCGCCGCCGCCGCAGGCGCCGTTCCTCTCGGCCTCCTCCTCGCTCGGCCCTGCCTACTACACCGACGCCGCCCTCGCGCGCGCGCTCAACTTCACAGCCATGCCCGAGTACGAGTACGACTACTCGCCGGCCGCATCCTCGCCCTCCAACTCCGCGCTCTCCTCGTCGTCCCTTCTCGCAGACTTCCCCTGCGGCACCGGCGGCGGCAACTGGTTCGCCTCCACGTCCGCGCCGCCCACGGGCTCACTCGCCTGCGACTCCGTGCTGGTCGCGTCGGACGCGACCCCGCGGCCGCCGTCCACCCCCGTGGGCGCCGCGACGAACAAGAAGCGGACGGGCCTGGGGCCCAACGCGGCGGGCGCGGGGCGCGCTGGAAAGCGGCGGGCGCGGGCGTCGAAGCGCGCGCCGACCACGTACATCAGCACCGACCCCGCCAACTTCCGGCTCATGGTGCAGCACGTCACCGGCGTCCAGTCCGAGCCGGGCACCGACGACGGCAGCGGCCTGCCCGCATCGTTCGACGCGTCCTCTGCCGCGGCGCTGCTGGACTGCCACCCGTTCGACGGCGCGCTGCGGATGCCGGCCGACGTGGACGCGGCGGAGCTCCACCGCCACCACCAGCAGCAGCTGGCGCAGCAGCAGCAGCCGTGCTACCCGACGCTGGACTCGTGGAGCGTCATGTACGAGAGCAGCCAGCTGCTGTAGCTCTAGCTCTAGCCGATCACTCAGCTCCATGTTCTCGATGCATTATTAACCATGAGTAGTCCAGTTCCAGTCAGGACCGTCACTCATAGATTGCAGATTAATCACGGCTAGTTCATCTTTTGCCCGGCGTCTAATGTACATGTAATTTTTCTACTTTTCGTCGATCGATCTATCCATCTATGCATCCAGCCAAGAAAACTGTCGGGCTAACGTACAGCACCGATCGACCGGCGTGCATGTCGCCGTCTGCACTCTGGACTGGCGCTACGTGTACGCAGTTGGACGACGACTACTGTGGGTAGACGGGGACCCTGCCTGGCTTCTCATCCGTACGTTTTGGTGCTGAAAATGGTACGCCCGCAGCGCAGGCAGAGCTGTCAGTCTCAGTCGTGCCGTTCCAGCATCGTTCTAGAAAGCAGCCGGGCGAGACGGACGACCCGGTCCGCCGTGCCGATTTATTCGGCTCGCACCGCACTCGCCGCCCGACGACACGTACGTACGCACGTACGCACCGACGTACGTACGGGACCCGGCCCGGCCGGTCGCAGTGGACTGCCGAGATTTGGTTGGGTTTGAGATCCGAAAACATCATGGCGGCTTTTGCCTTTTCTAGCCTTTTCATTTTTGGTTGCTCGTTCACTGTGTGTGAAGATTTGATTTGAGCTCCACTGACGCACCAATCAAAATAAATTTGGGGGCCTTGATGGCGGCCGGCCTCGGCCTCTTTCCCCTGCCGTTTCAGCTTTTCCATCGAAAGAAAATGTGTTGGGCTCCACTGACGGTGACGGAGAGATCTAGATCGATGAGTACGTGAGTGGGCAAATTCACTTTCAGGCACCGATCAAAGAGCAAAACCGAATTCAGTTTCAGTTTCAGGCACCAAGCGAACTGGAAACTGCAAACTGCTAGAGCATCTTGTTTGGTCGCCGCTTGATGTTCGGTGCTCTGAAACTGAACGCCAGTTAAAATCCATCACATGTTACTGCAACCACCAACGTATTTTAGCTGTCAGGACATCTAGCTTACTTGCAGAGGTTCAGCACGTCTGGAGCTATATAAGCTACTTACTTCTCTACTTGCAAAAGTTATATACGTACTAGAACTAGAGAAAACATTACGTTCGTCTCCCAACCAGAGAAAACATTATACAGTTGTGCTCTGCTCTTTTCTGTACAGTTTGGACCAAGCTGATGAGCTCAATATAGATGCATGGAACCCCAAGTTGTGACTGACACTCAACAATACAAGAAGCTGCTGGCTGTCGAATTGCCTGCTGAGAAATGCAGAAAAATTGGGGAAGCTCGCTTCTTAGCAAAACGGTCTCCAGTCCAGAATCACCTAGCACAGCAATGTACAAGCATCTAGAGAATGTTCTTGGTCCTTCAAATGCGCCAAAGTACTGAAACTATTTGGTCATAATTATAGGGAAGATCCAGCAGATCCTCCTAATTTTATATTAGATATAGCTAGAGAAAAGAAGATGACAAAGATACACTGTAAAAACTTCACATGAAAGATGAGTACTTTTTTTCTATCATGCTTCTCTAATGCAGAAATGTGTGCAATTCACCTTAGATAGCCATCCAAATTAAAGATAAGCCTAACATTAGTATGTGAAATTTGTGTTTTGTCAATGCAAAGACGACACTCTGAAAAATGCCCATCCAAAGATTTTAATTAGATATTTGCTATTCTAATCCTGTATTCTTCAAAAGTTTGCCCCTGGCCATATTTTTATACTTTCCTTGCATTACATCACCTGAACTGTCTAATTAGTCTCTGGCTCTTGGAAAATACTTCTTTTCAATGAAGGTAAGTTGGTCACTGTTTCCGCATATTGAACCTTCTACTGCGAATAAAAGTGTTCACAGTTTTTTTTGTCATACATCTGGTCTGTGGGACAAAGGCGGCAATAGTTAGCCAATGCGTACAGAGCAATATCTTCCCCACCTCCGAAAAATTTGGTGTCTTGTTGTCAAAAGATTCAGAAAATTAGCAGAGTTTGAAAGGGACACATTTTATGTGAGATGAAGGAGTGAATTGCAGAAAACCACCACATTGAAACATAGGTTTGCAGAAAACACACTTCTACGAATTTCTGCCATAAAGCACTAATTTTGAGCTTAATCTTTTGCATAAAACACTGACCATCGCTTTGGGCATTTTAACCTCGATAAGAATAAAATGAGAATACGTGGTTTCTGGCAAAAAGTCGTAAACCGATGTTTTCTACAAATCTATGCTTTAATGTGGAGGTTTTCTGCAATTCACTTGAGAGGAAGTGATGTCGCACATGCACTATTGACAACTGGAGCGATGGTGTGGCACCTCAGGACACTGTACAAGCTAGATGTAGTTGCCCCCTGCTCTTATGAATGTTTGGTTTCACCGAGGGAACATTATATTTTAGTTATAAAATTCACGTTTTTATTGAAAGAGCTGGAAATTGCTAGCATTTGATGATAAGATGTAGAATATATACATGGACACATGATCTCAACCATGGCAAGGAGAAATTAATACGAGCAAGAAGATAGGAAGGACAAGGCCACAACAAGCGGATATCTCTCAACCTGTCGACTGAGGAGGGTATCTAAACATTTAGGTCCCGCTAGGTGCCATTGAACATATAAACCTTGCTAGGCAACCCGCCATTCCGAGGCATCCCCGTGCGCTAAGCTGGTTGGACCGCACGATCTTTTACCGTCGCTTCTCTTTTGGCTGCTGGCAGCCGGTTAGCCGCTTGTTATACTTCACATTTTGTGCAGGTTCTAATGTAGATGACAGGTGGGTCATGCTGGTGTGGGGCCATGAAAATTACATGGGGTTTCTCTGATTCTTCGTACGCAAAGCGTGCTACGCGCGGGGTGAACGGTGAAAACCTAGCCACGGCTTCCCTTCTCTCTCTCTCCTCACTTCATTCCCCCCGCAGCCGCCGCCGTTGTCTCATCCCCCACCCCCACCCACCTCCAGCGCCGCCGCCGCCGCCGCTAGCGCCTCTTCCTCTCTTCCCCACTAGACAATGCCTCTCCACGTTCTTGGTCCGGCGTTCCCCGCGCGGTGTTTCGGACGAGGCACAGGTCGCTGCCATGGGAGAGCAGGGGCGGCGTGGTTTTTGTGATGGGTGTGAAGGAGTAGGGGAGGACGAGGAGGACGGACAGGGGGGAGGCGCAACGAGGCCGGAGCTCGAGCAGCGCTCGCCTCGCGCTGGAGTGGAGCCAGCCGTTCGCTGCTCGTCGATCCTCGTCCTTCATCCCCAATCTAGGCTGCACTTTGCCCTCGCCATCTTCTTCCCCCAATTTTTGCCTCTTGATTTTATTGGTTTCTTGATTATTGGATTTTGATTTCTTGATTTAGGTTTTTTTCCTGAATGATATGTGTGCAGATCGGGCGAGGAAGAGAAGAGGAAGGATCTCGAGGAAGAATTAAGAACAAAACGAGGTGATCTCACTCTGATTTGCCTAGGTTATTTTTCTGTGTTGCTTTCCCCTGCTGCCCTTCGTGCTCTCTCTCTCTTCCCCGACACTCTCTGTTGTACACGGACGCAAATTATTTGCTTTGTTAATGTGAGCTTGCTTGTTTGGTTCTGCTTGATATGTTGCCAACCTTCGTCCTTGTCTCCTCCGCAGAGATGCAGATCAAGGAGGTCGGCAGATGGGATGAGGTTGGGTGAGGTGCACGAGGACAAAGGTGCAGGTCCGTGGTGAGAGAAAATGTTTTTTTTGTTTGTTTCCTACAATGCCGTTTCAGTTAGTAGTGAATATTGATGATGCCCATGAAAACTCTGAAGACATTGCTGAACTGTATCTCATCATTTGATAACTTTGATTTCCGATCAGCGTGTTGATCTCCACCAATATTTATGTCAAAAAAGAAATTAGTTCAAATTGGTTTGCTGTCCTGCTTTGAGCCCTTATCTTTTTGCATTGGTGATGGATGAGGTCACAAGGGGTATACAAGGAGATATCCCATGGTGTATGCTCTTTGCGGATGATGTGGTGCTAGTTGACGATAGTCGGACGGGGGTAAATAGGAAGTTAGAGTTATGGAGACAAACCTTGGAATCGAAAGGGTTTAGGCTTAGTAGAACTAAAACCGAGTACATGATGTGCGGTTTCAGTACTACTAGCTGTGAGGAGGAGGAGGTTAGCCTTGATGGCCAGGTGGTACCTCGGAAGGACACCTTTCGGTATTTGGGGTCAATGTTGCAGGAGGATGGGGGTATTGATGAAGATGTGAACCATCGAATCAAAGCCGGATGGATGAAGTGGCGCCAAGCTTCTGGCATTCTCTGTGACAAGAGAGTGCCACAAAAGCTAAAAGGCAAGTTCTACAGGACGGCGGTTCGACCCGCAATGTTGTATGGCGCGGAGTGTTGGCCGACTAAAAGGCGACATGTTCAACAGTTAGGTGTGGCGGAGATGCGTATGTTGAGATGGATGTGTGGCCACACGAGGAAGGATCGAGTCCGGAATGATGATATACGAGATAGAGTTGGGGTAGCACCAATTGAGGAGAAGCTTGTCCAACATCGTTTGAGATGGTTTGGGCATATTCAGCGCAGGCCTCCAGAAGCTCCAGTGCATAGCGGACGGCTAAAGCGTGCGGAGAATGTCAAGAGAGGGTGGGGTCGACCGATTTTGACATGGGAGGAGTCCGTTAAGAGAGACCTGAAGGATTGGAGTATCGACAAAGAGCTAGCTATGGACAGGGGTGCGTGGAAGCTTGCTATCCATGTGCCAGAGCCATGAGTTGGTTGCGAGATCTTATGGGTTTCACCTCTAGCCTACCCCAACTTGTTTGGGACTAAAGGCTTTGTTGTTGTTGTTGTTGTTGTTTAGGTTTGCTGTCCTGCTGAGATTAAATATCCACATTAGCCGTATCCCAAGTGTCCAGATTGATTCCTGTTTTTCTTTATTCCTTTTTCATTTTCATCTAATCATCGCTGACCAATTCTTTTTATGCATATCGCTAATTAGATTTCTGCTTGTTCAATACCT